TCAGCAACTCCTCGCCGGAAGTAGGATCTCCGTTTCCTTCATACATATTTATGAAATCCCATGATCTTGTTGTATGAAGCTCTGATGACCCGCTGGGGAACACTGAGATCACACCATCCATTTCTATAAACACATACAAATAACCTCATTACTTTTGGCTTATTTGATCATTATTAACTGTTTGACATGGTTAAACATTCCATATAAGTGCTTGATTAATTAGTTTTTGTAAAATAATTTATTGTTCTAAATTGCTAAAATTCAAAAAGCTGTTCATCAAAGTAGTTTTTTCAATCAGCTTTTAGAGAAAATCATTTTGTATGCAATTAATTTATCAAATCTTTCTGCAATCAACTAATGATATCAACTACTCAAATCCACTAACCTAATTAGCTAACAGCTATTTACCAAACGCCTCCATTATGTGCCTTCACTTAGCAGATTATATGCGTGTAAATAAATTAATTACCGGCTATGGTATTGGCTTCCTCTGAGGTGAGTAAAGCCGAGAAGCCATTGATGATATTCTTGTAGCTGTGAACCAGGGAAGCTGAAGCTTCTTCTTTGGAGGGCTTTACATGATGAATATATGTGCGATGGAGGGTTTCAATCTCTTTCGAGGTTTTGTGTCCACTGTGCTCTCCAAGGTACACCACATAAACCTGTGGTTTAGCATTGCAGGCTAAGATGTGAAGAAAGAAAAGAAACAGAAATATAGTCAGAGCTTTCTTCATTTTAGATAGCATGGATACTCTCCAGTTCATCTGTTGTTACGATTTATATAGAGCTTGCATGCAACATAAATATTTTTTCTTTTTGTTTTTTAGTGACTAGTGGTAAATTTTTTTTTTTTTTTTTTTTTTTTTATTAAAAGGAAGGGAATATACATATACAAACTACTTGTCTCAATTGAGGTTTAAACCTTTCACCTCCCACTTAGGAGAGCAACCAAATATCAATGGATCACATGCCACTTAATGACTAGTGATAAATTATAACTTCACCACAAACAGTCTCTGTGATGGGCTCGATCAAGAAGGTATTGATAAGGTATTGGTAGTAATTCTATTTGTGATATTCCGATATAATTAATAATTAATCATATTCTATCAATCGGGCACTCTTTGGATGGGGTCAGAGTGTAAAGATTTTTGGCCATTATAGTGACAACATACAAAAGAAATTTCCTATGGTGCGACAACGCGTCACATAGGACAGTGATTGTTCTTTAGCCATTTGAATAAGAAAAATATACTAAGACTATGTGGTCTAATGGTACCTGGGTTGGATTTCTATTTAGAAGATTGTGAGTTCGAGCCTTAGTGGAGGCGTGATCGGTTTTTTGTGTTTTAGTAGTCAGATTACTATAATAGAGCCAGTAATAGTTTGGTTTTTTTGAAAAATGACTTCTCCCTTCTTTTTGGAGAAGTCATTTTTCGAATCCAACTGTTTCTTTCTGGCTTTTTCTGAGAATGCTTCTTTGGCTTTCTTCCACCATCCTCCACTTTCTACCTTGACTGATTTCCGCAAGAAATCAGTACAAACAAGACTAGTTTTGTCAAAAATCAGTAGAACTAGACTGGCCTATGGACAGAAACTAGTCTAGTTTTTACTAGTTTCCAACGAAAACCAGTATGGTTTGTAGTGGTTTCCATACTGGTTACCATCAGAAACTAGTAGAAATCAGTACTCGTGTGTGTGTGTGTGTGTGTATGTATAATAGTTGGGCAAAATATAATTGTTGTCAAATTTTTTTAGTTAACAACCATTAAAAAAAATAGTTGGGCAAAATATAATTGTTGTCGAAACATTAGGAAAATTGAAAATAATTCAACCCATCATATATTTGTTCAGGATAACCCAACCTGTCATGCCATAATTGAAAAGAATGAGGATCTTTAGTTAGGGTGTGTTTGGTTCGCACATGGGAATCGGAATGGGTATCAAATACTTGATAATATGTGTTTTAGTGAAAGTATTTTGCATGTTTGGTAATAGAGTGAAATGGGAATGATTATCAATAATGTTGTTTGGTTATGTATGATCCAATAATGCGAATAAAAATTTTAAAAATACAAGAACACAAAATCAAGACAATTGATTCTAATATAAAGACATCCAAAACACTAATATGAACAAAAAATAATAATAATAACAAAAATCTAAAAGCACTAATCAAAAAGGGGATGAGAAGGGATGATACCCTTATTTTATTTGGGTATGAGTTTTTCAATTAAGAGAATATTTGAAACCCATAGTAGTGTTCTAAAAACCTATCAACCAAACAATACCAATCACTTTGATACTCATTCCTTAGAGCTAAACCTGTCAACCAAACACACCCTTTATGGGTTGTTTGGTTCATGGAATAAATTTGGAGGGAATAGGAATGTTATTCCAGAGTGAATGGAATATGTAAGGAATAAAATATGAATTGTATTCTGTTGTTTGGTTCGCTGAAGGAATCGAATTTGGGAATTGTATTTCAACGTTTGGTTGGTTAAGGAATAGAAATGGAATATATGTATAAAAGACATAAATGTCATTGTACACAATATTATTATTATTAATATTATTATTATTATTATTATTATTATTATTATTATTATTATTATTATTATTATTATCATTATTATCATCATTATTATTATTATTATTATTATTATTATTATTATTATTATTATTGTTGTTATTATTATTATTATTATTATTATTATTATTATTATTATTATTATTATTATTATTATCAATTAATCATCATTCCATAATCAGCTACTAATTAATATAATATCATCATTATTCATTATCAACTATTATTATATTTTTTTTCTTATTAACAAAAATTGGAAAATTAAAAAATGGTCACAATAATGAGTGGCAGTGCAAATCCATACCCAAACTAATTTATGCGCAAATTCATACCCAACACAAATCCATACCCGCCGCCGCAGTGCCAAGTGCGAATCCAATAATGTTGATGATGAAGACGAGTACAGTTCCTCCCTGTTGTTTATAGCTCATCACATTTCTATCTTTCAACAAACCAGCGTGCAGCCTCCTTCGTCCTCTCTCTCTCTCTCTTAACAAACCAGCAGCTGCCCCTTCCTCTTTACCTCCAGTCGTCAGCCATGGCAGCAGCAAGGACCTCGGGCGAGACCAGCAACACCCCACCATCGCCTTCCTCTTCCCTCTCTTCTTCCCGTCGGCGAGCAGGATGCATGACCACAATTGACAATTCTGCAGTAGAATCCAATTGCATACCTTTTCTTTTGCTACCTCTCTGGTCAACATATCTTGCAGTGTCATTGAACACACATAGCATTGGAAAAATTCCATCCGAAGCTTCGTCGATGGCAACGGTTTATATATATATTTTCTTGAAAATAAAGTTTAAAATGGCCGATTGCAAAAGCTACCAAATTCCGGCTGCCGGCATCAGAAAATTGACTGAGATATTTTATAATATATAAAATATATATTATATAGTATTTGTTTGACGTTTCAATTTGATGCAGATGGCAGAAGGAATCACAAAGACAGAGAAGACGAGAAAAAGATAACCTATAATGCTTAGGTTAAATGAAAGGGTAAACTAGGAAATAAAAAAAAAAATCTATTCCTGAAGACTCAGCAATAAGTTAATACCAGGGAACCCTAGTAATATCTATTACCTTATTTGAAGTAATAGGCTATTACCAGGAATATTATTACTGGTAATATAAAGGTTTGCCAAACAAAGGAATAGGATTATTACTGGGAATGCTATGTCATTCCAGGCCTATTCCGTGAACCAAACGGCCCATTAAAGGGAAGATTACTCATTGTGGAAACTTGCCAATTTGAGATTTAATATTATTTTGAGAAGTGAATATTATACTGCTAACAAATTGAATTAAATATATTATTCTGCTGAGCTACAGTCTGCGCCTGAATCAGTCGAAGTCTGCTGAGCTACGGTCTACGCCTGATTCAGTTGAAGTATTGTTCGAAGGTTATCAAGGCATGCACGTCAAGGTCCAGGTTGGAGTATGGTAGCTAAGATTGTAGCTAAGATTGTGAGAGTCTAATGTATTGTTCTATTGTAAAACTCCTCAGTGAACATCTATAGTGGATTGGGCAGACGTGAGTTGCCCCACAGACGTAGGAGAAGTGCTCCGAACTGCGTAACAAATCTTTGTGTACTTGATTTAATTACTGCTTTTATTTTCTGTTATTTACTATCACTAAATAACAAAAAATTAATCGGTCAAAATTTAATATGATTATAAAAATCAAGTAGAAGTTTCAGGTTCGGTTAGTTTAAGGTTCACGACATTATTTCAATTGGTATCAGAGCAAGGAGACTTAAATTACTAGTCTTTCGATCTGGCTATTCCGTGTCCCTTATCTTTAAGCGTTCAGCGACTTTCAATTTTGTTCTTCCTATTATTACTTTGTTCAGTCTCACTGGTTGCTAAGTATTTCAGAATGGAAAGATTCAGGCCACTTCATCAGCTTACAGGTGACAACTACGCATATTGGAAAGCTCGAACAAGAACTCACCTTAAAGCTCAAGGAGATCAGGTTTGGCGAGCGGTACTGACCGGTTGGACACCACCTACAAAACCCGGAGAAAATGATGGTGATCCACCAGTGATAAAACCTGAAACCGAGAGAACTCAAGCTGAAATTACCACTGCTGGATATAACGATAAGGCTCTTGACACAATCTATTCCTTAATGCTTGAAAATCAATTTTCGTTAGTTACGGGTATTGATTGTGCAAAAACTGTGTGGGAAATACTCGAAACCACCTATGAAGGTACAACTTCAGTTAAACAGTCAAAGCTCCAGCTGGTAAAAACTGAATTTGAGGAACTTCGTATGAATGAGGACGAAGATATTGCGAGTTTTCACGAACGCATACAAGAGTTAGCTAATCGAGCAACAATTCTTGGAAAACCTTTCTCCCAACAAAAACTTGTCAAAAAATCCTAAGATCTTTACCTCCGAGATTCAGGATGAAGGTAACCACTATTCAAGAACATGATGGCTGGGAGAACAAATCACTGGCTCAACTAATGGGCAACCTTCGAACCTACGAAATGGAAATTCTTACTGATCACACCAAAAAACCAAAGACAGTTGCATATGTCGCTAAAGAACATGATGATACCGCTAACCCAGACGAATCAGGTGATGATCCAGTTGTGTTTTTGACTAAACAGTTTTCTAATATTTTGAAACAGGTATCTCAGAAGAATTCACAAAACAAAAAATTTCAAAAAGAAGTTCAAACATGTCGAAAACTGGTACAAAAACTAGCATGTCAAACTCTAAAACTACTGCCTCACGTCCAGCCCACTCCAAGGAAAAATCAAACAACAAAGGAATAAAATGTTACGAGTGTGAGGGCTTTGGTCATGTTCAAGCTGAATGTCCAACTTACCTTAGGCGAAAAAAGTCCATGACAGCCACAACTTGGAGGGATGACGAACCTGAATCAGAAGCTGCTGACTCTGACGCAGAAAAAATGTTCGGTAATATTGTAGCTTTTACTGCTAGAGTTGCGACATGTTCAGAACCTGGAGATGTATTTGACACGGAGGATGGTGAGTACAACTCGGCGGAAGACCATGAAATACCATATTTATCTTACGAAGTAGAGTTTAACAAGTTGTATCCCAAGTGGGAAGCATTACTTAAAACAAATCGTATAGTGTCTAGTGAAGTTAGAGTATTGCAAAATGTTGTAAACGTGTTCAAAGGTCAAGTAGCAGATAGGGATGCATTAATTAAAGAATACACTGACCGAGAAGAGAAACTGAAACAGGAAGTCAAGGAACTGAAGCTGGAACTGAGTACTTACAAAAAGAAAATCCAAATGATGGATACCACTTCAACTCTTGATGAAATTCTTGGTTCTGGGCGGCAATCCTGTGCAAGGTTTGGTATTGGCTTTACTGGAGGAACCAACAAAGACAAAACTACTTTTGTCAAGACATCTGATCCACGTCCAGAAGATACTCCTGAGTCAAGCACAGCTAAACAATATCGTGAATCAGCGCCTGCCACTGGCTCAGCAGGGCAAACACGAGGTACTATACATAACAAGTTTAACTATAAGGTATATAATCCAGTGTGTCACTATTACAGGTTACGAGGACACATCAAACCTGAGTGTTATTACTTCTACAAAAAACAAAGGGCCGAAAAACATAGCCATAAGTACATTACTCCGTTTATCAAACAAGTATGGGTAAAGAAATCCGATTATATTAGTTTTGTATCCTTTCACACTAAAAATGCAGGTAGGGATGAAAAATGGTACTTCGACAGCGGTTGCTCGCGTTACATGACCGGAAACGCAAAATTTCTAAGTGGCATAAACACAAGCAACAATGAAGTAACCTTTGGTGATAGAGTCAAAGGACAAGTAACCGGAGTAGGTACTCTAAATGTTGCAGGTCTACCGAAGTTGAAAAAGGTGCTACTGGTAAACGGACTCCATGCCAACCTCATAAGCATTAGCCAACTTTGCGACCAAAACTGGAATGTTAGCTTCACCAAAGACAACTGCAGTGTTATGGATAATGAAAAGCAATGTGTTATGGAAGGTAAGTGATCAACAGACAGCTGCTATACTCTAACAAATGATATCCTCTGTTGCAGGTCCAGCATAAATGAGTCTGAGTTGTGGCATCAAAAATTAGGGCGTTAGCAATCCAGCTAATTAAATTTCTTTTTGCCCGTGTTAATAAAATTTCAGGTACACTAACTCACAAATAAATATTACTTAGTGTTACTAATATTTTTTTTTTCTCTCGTGTGCAGATTAAGTCTTAAAGCTAAGCAGTGATAAAAGCTATCTTGAATTCACTTTTTAAAAGCCAAGTGTTCAGGTCTTATTAGTTTCTTATCTATCCACGTTCTCTTTGTCTTGAATTCCATAAAGATGATGTTTTTTTTGATATTATTTTGCGTATATCTTTTTGAACATGAATTATCCATTCTAGTCTATATATATACGTGTATCTCTGGATTCATTAAATCATCAGGTACTTTTAATCTTTCATATTCTTTCTCTTTACTTGTTCGTTTATTTTTTTTTTTAAAGTGTTCGTTTAATTTGCTTGGGTTATTCTTTATGTTTTGTTATTGGTTGTTTCTGTGTGTTCACTAAATGTCATATCTACATTGTGTTGGCTGCTTTTGATATGATAATTCTTTGATTATGCCTTTTTGTTGGTGTTTCTTGTGTTAAAATATGTTTGTTTGAATGATAAATTTGGTGCAATTTGATTAATGTGTTTATTTCTCTGTGTTATTTGTTTGGTCCGGTCATGACCGTATTTGTGTTTATTTGTGTGTTTTCTCGTACTATCTGGTATGAATCTGTGCCTAAATTTTATTTATATGAGTCTGTGCCTGATTTTGCTTTATTTGAATTTTTGGCTGAATATGCTTTACCTGAATGTGCTGACTGTTTTATTTGCTAATTTGTCTGTTTTGTTTTAATCTAATTGAAAATTCCTAATTTTTTTTGTTCGTCTGTGTTTTGCTGAGTCGTTTGCAAGTTGCTTGTGCCTGGCTCTAGGGCTCTCGTTTTTTTAAAAAACTTCTGCAAGTTCAAACAAAGCAAATAACTTATTATGGTGTCCCAATTACAGCTTCAAGCAAACGAAAATTTGGCAAAGAAAACAATCACAATGTACATTTTGAGGGGGAGTTCTTTTTAATCTCTTATGAATAAATACAATTTGTGTATTGGTATTTTCGGCTATATTGGTTTTCTTGGGTATATATGGATTCTCTTACTGGAATTTATCAGTTTCTGGATTATCTACTTGATGAGATTATTTATGAGGAATATTTTTTTATGGATGGGATTGCTTATAAGGTTTTATCTTCTTGGTGTATGATATTTGACACTGATCAATATGATGCACGATTGGATATGAGGGAGAAATTAGAAAATACGGGGGTATAAGCCAGCAAGTAAGTATGAGGGCTGATACTAGCGCTACTACCACTGGTTCTGAAATTGATGATAATGACGACAACTCAGTTTCGGGCACCCCGTCTGCACGCTAATCTAATCCACTATATGATGTTCACCGATCCTTTTTGTCACTTATTTGGCAAAAAAGGGGGAGTAATAGAAGGAGGAGTTTGAAGAAAGGGGGAGTTTTATTTTGAAGTTCTGGCTGTTTTGGAATATGAAATAAGGGGGGGATCTAAGAAAGGGGGAGCAGTAGGAAAGTTTGCTGCATTGGTTTGACTGCGACATATGGTATTTTTATTTTTTATATGGCTTGTCTATTACTCTATTATGCTACACTTTTTGGTAATCTCTGACTATTATATCTCTCTTTAGTTTATGATTATTATTATCAGTTTCTGGGTATTATTATCTTAATAGTGAACTTATTGTCATTGGACGATCAGCTTTTATTTAGCTAATCTATCTATTGGTTATCAATTATTCCATCTGAATATTGAGTTTTCTCGGGGTTTATAAACATCACACATAGTCTCTGAATATTAATGCAATGAGTTCATGGTTTATAAACATCACACATGGTCTACAAGAGCTTTTGGTATTTTCTTATTCTTACCTTAGGTAACTGTATGGCACTTATTCAAAGGGCTTATTCAAATAAAAATTATTTAATTGTTGTTTGCCCAAAGTATTAAAGTGCTACTAGTTTTTGCCAAATAAATTGCCAAAGGGGGAGATTGTAAGTGTGCATATTTTTGTACACATTAAACCTATGTTGGCTAATTTATTTTTATAAATAATAGACTTAGGATTAGCCAAAGCTCTTGGACCATTTTTATTTATCATAGGGTATTTAATTGAGTGGCTCACAATTATTGTGTACATGAAGAAGAAGTCAGCAATCAAATTGTGGTTCAAGCAAATTGTAAGGATTTGGTTTATAAATGAGTGGCAGGGAATGATTTGAGCATTTGATGAAGCTATTCACGTGTCTTATTTTGGTGAAGGGACTATTACTATAAAAGGGAAGATTACTCATTGTGAAAACTTGTCAATTTGAGATTTAATATTATTTTGAGAAGTGAATATTATACTGCTAACAAATTGAATTAAATATATTATTCTGCTGAGCTACGGTCTGCGCCTGAATCAGTCGAAGTCTGCTGAGATACGATCTGTGCCTGATTCAGTTGAAGTATTGTTCGAAGGTTATCAAGGCATGCACGTCACGGTCCAGGTTGGATGTTAGGAAGGTTGTTTGTAGTATGGTAGCTAAGATTGTGAGAGTCTAAAGTATTGTTCTATTGTAAAACTCCTCGGTGAACATCTATAGTGGATTGGGCAGACGTGGGTTGCCCCGCAGACGTAGGAGAAGCGCTCCGAACTGCGTAACAAATCTCTGTGTAATCACTGTCCTACTTCTAATCACTACAATTCCTTGGATCAAGTTTTCTGTGGCTATTTTTCGTCGGAATCGCAGCGGTATGGTTGCGTTGTGTTAAGAATAAAGTGCAATGATTTTGATATGTCAAATATGTATTTGTAGAACCCCCAATTTTATTAATACGTCTAGTAGAGTCTTAAACCATGATCGGAAAATTATTTAAGTTGCAAAAGAGAAACAGAGGAAGATGCATGAAAATAGAAGAAGAAGATATCAAGCCAAAAATCAAGAATTTGTCTGGAGAAAATGACAAATTAAAGAAGAAGATGAATGATATAATATTCACGTCAATGCTACTCAAAGAGATATCCCAGAAGAATTTTCGTGAAAGAAAACTAAGTTTGGAAGATTGCATGAATTTGACTTGGAGATCAAGCATCTATGGAAAGAAAGGAGTAAATCAAATATGATTGGAGATTTAACCAATAAGCTGAATGGACGAAGTGGAAGATGCCTGATTTATTATTTGAATTGGCTCAAGTTCAAATCTCACCATTAATAATTTTACAAGGTAAAATTTGAGAAGCCTGGGAGCCAATTTCGAAGTCAAAGTCAAAATGATTCAAATTGGTACATTGAGATCAAATTGAATTATGATGAAATTCAATACCAGGAGAAGTGTCAAAATGAAATTCAATACCAGGATAAGAGTCAAAAAGTCAAAATGATTCAAATTGGTACATTGATATTCAAATTGGTACATTGAGATCAAATTGAATTGAGATGAAATTCAATACCAGGAGAAGTATCAAATTGGTACATTGATATTCAAATTGGTACATTGAGATCAAATTGAATTGAGATGAAATTCAATACCAGGAGAAGTAGCACCAGGAGTAGTCAAAGTCAAAATGATTCAATTCAAATTGGGAAGCAATTGAAGCACCAAATTGGGAAGCAATTGAAGCACCAGGAGTAGTCAAAGTCAAAATGATTCAATTCAAATTGGGAAGCAATTGAAGCACCAGGAGTAGTCAAAGTCAAAATGATTCAATTCAAGTTGGGCACCAAATTGGGAAGCAATTGAAGCACCAGGAGTAGTCAAAGTCAAAATGATTCAATTCAAATTGGGAAGCAATTGAAGCACCAGGAGTAGTCAAAGTCAAAATGATTCAATTCAAGTTGGGAAGCAATTGAAGCACCAAATTGGGAAGCAATTGAAGCACCAAGAGTAGTCAAAGTCAAAATGATTCAATTCAAATTGGGAATTCAAATTGGGAGGCAATTGAAGCACCAGGAGTAGTCAATGATAATTCAAATTGGGAAGCAATTGAAGCACCAGGAGTAGTCAATGATTCAAATTGGGAATTCAAATTGGGAAGCAATTGAAGAACCAGGAGTAGTCAAAGTCAAAATGATTCAAATTGGGAAGCAAAGTAAAAATGATTCAATTCAAATTGGGAAGCAAAGTCAAAATGATTCAATTCAAATTGGGAATTCAAATTGGGAAGCAATTGAAGCACCAGGAGTAGTCAATGATAATTCAAATTGGGAAGCAATTGAAGCACCAGGACTAGTCAATGATTGATTCAAATTGGGAAGCAATTGAAGCACCAGGAGTAGATTCAGAGAAGTCTGGGAGCCAATTTCGAAGTCAAAGTCAAAATGATTCAAATTGGGAAGCAATTGAAGCACCAGGAGTAGATTGGGAGCCAATTACAAGTCAAAGTCAATTGGGAGCCAATTACAATGGAGAAATTCAAATTGGGTGCCAATTACAAGTCAATTGCAATTGGGTGTCAATTAAAAAGGAGAAATTTAAATTGGGAGGAAGTTCAAAGCCAGTTTGAAGTCTGAGAACACCCAGACGTGAGAATGAAGAAGATGAAGAAAAACTTACAGTGAAAATATTCTCACAAGGAAAAATACTAGTTTAACTAGTATGGGATTAAATTGAAGAATATTTTGAAGTATTTAAATCCCAAGAACCACTTCAGAGCTGATCAGAGAAGCCATTCTACACAAAACTGAGACCCAGATATTTCCATGAAACGTGAGAAAACCAGAGGAATATCAAATGAAGTTGGGGTTCTCATTTGCATGAAGTTGAAGCTCTACCAACGGCTAGCTTATCTCTTCTAACACTTTGCAGAAGATAAGATAAGATTTCTGACAAAAGATACAAGATTTCAAAAATAAGATCGTCTCTTTCCAACGGGCAGATCCTCATTACCAGCTATAAAATGATGAAGATATGAAGACTTGAAGATAGACGAACTGAATAGAAAAGAGCAGAA